TACCAACCACCTTCTCTTATAGTTTTACCCTTACATCTTACCATTTCCATTAATGGAGTCACCTCCTGGTTTCAATTTTAAGAATCCACTCTCTCACAACTGATACCTTTCTTTCCAGCTTACTTACTCTACTATTACCCTTCAACAAGTATTTGACACTTTAAGATGACCAGTCTATTATCCCTACTAATTTTTTATATCCCACCTTTTTGTCCTTCCTTCTTTTTTATACAGAACCTAGTTAATATCTGACCAAAATAAGCATTCATTTAAATAACCTTCAAATTTTATTTCTGTGACTTGAAAAGCCCTATCATTTAACTAAAGCAGGATCCCAACAACTGAATGTGGCTAAAGTAAAACACAGCTGTGTTAATTAATTTCACCTTGGGTGGATCATGTTTTGGTGGGCCCTAAAGGACAAGAAGATGGGATATAAATAATTAGTAGAGCCCTAAGTGTTAATAGAATGTGAGATCTCTTCATGAAGAATACAAGGTTATGAATATAGAATTCCCACAACCAATTCAATGCCACTTGACAAGGATAAATTATGTCAGAAAGAGAAAATAGTCTTAATAAATTTTGGTTAAAATATCTTATTTTTACAAACTCTATAAAAAATGTATGACCATTTGAAAACACTGTTAGAGACACTCAAAAGACTTTACAAGGGGTTGGGGTCAGTTAGAGGCCCTCATATTTAAGCTTCATTAGTACTGCAGTAAATTTACTGCTGAGTAGAACTTAAATTCTATGACTATAAATCTCAAGTCACAATCACCACTACCAAAAAATTTTTAGACAATTCAGTTTTTCTGAGAACTATTTCACATCTTATCACTCTTCATTCCTAATACCCACATCATCCTCATTTTAAAGCTAATAATCTTCCCAAATAATTAATAGAGGACATGGAAGCAATCAAATGAAAATTACCTCTTTCTCTTGCTAGCCTATTTGCGTCTGTCTTTACATACTCTGTGTTCCTCTCTATTAACGTATAATAACGGAAGCAGCTCTTACATAGGAGTTCCCATCACCCACACACTTGCCAAATGGATGCCACTTACTCTTTTTTGAAGAAGATTTTATTTATTTATTTGAGAGAGAGAGAAAGAGCATGGGGGGTGCTGCAGAGGGAGAGGGAGAAGTGATCCCAAGACCTTGACATCATGACCTGAGCCAAAAGGCAGACACTTAACCAACTGAGACACCCAGGCACCCCTGGATGCCATTTACTCTTACACATTTAGGGGCTTTGCAGCTACAATTATCTCCTCTTTCCCATGAATTATCATTATTTCCCTCTACTTTAATAGCATATGAACATTGCATAATATTGCTCATCTTAGAAAAGAAGAAAACACAAGATAAAATAGAGCCCTACCTTCCAGCTCTGCCCTCCTATTCTTCATAGCAAATCTTAAGTGCACATTCCTGTTTCCATGAACTCACATTCCGTTTTCTATTCAATCCATTCATACAAGGATTATCTAAGTATCATAATCTAGATCCAGAGTCATTTTTTCTTATCAATTTAAAAGTATTTTCATGATTTATTTAGTTTTTAAAAAATTATATATACTTAAAGTTTACATCATTTGGTTTTTACCTTCCGAGTTACAGAAATTCCTTATATATTTTGGATATTAACGTCTTATCACATTAGTGGTTATCACATAAATGGTCTGAAATAGATTTTCTCTCATTAAGTAGGTTGGCTTTTCAAATTATTGAGAGTTTTTGTTTTGTTTTGTTTTGTTTGCTGTACAGAAGCCTTTTAACTTAACATAGTCCCACTTGATTTTTTACTTTGTTTCCTGTGCTTTTGGTGTCATGTGTAAAAAAAAAAAAAAAGTGCCAAGACCAGTGTCAAGGAGAATCTTCCCTATATTTCTTCTGGGAGTTTTATAGTTTTAGTTCTTGTATTTAAGTCCTTAATCCATTTCAATTTAATTTTGTAAGTGGTGTAAGATAGGGGCCCAGCCAATTTAATTCTTTTGCATGTGGCTGTCCAGTTTTCCTAACACCATTTGTTGAAGAGATGATTTTTTCCCCCATGTGTGTTGCTGACATCCTTGTCAAAAGTTTTTTTCTGGGCTCTTCATTCTGTTTTATTTGTATATGTGTCTGTTTTTTATGCCAGTATCATACTGCTTTGAATACTATGGCTTTATAATATTGTTTGAAATAAGGAAATGTGATACCTCCAGCTTTGTTCTTCTTTTTCCAGATTGCTTTGACTATTTGGGGTCTTTCGTGGCTTTGTGCAAACGTTAGGATTTTTTTTTTCTATATCTGTGAAAAATGCCACTGGAATTTTAATAGAGATTCATTGAATCTCTAGTTTGCTTTGGGTAGTATAGACATTTTAACATTATTAAATATCCCAATCCATAAACACAGGATATCTTTCCATATCTTTGTCTTCCTCAGTTTCTTTCATCAGTGTCTTATGTACAATGTCAGTATGTAGATCTTTCATATCCTTAGTTAAATTTTATCCTACATATTTTATTATTTTTTGATGCCATTGTAAATGAGATTGTTTCACTTTTTTCAGATAATTCATTGTTTATATATAGAAATGCAACAGATTTTTGTATATTGATTTTGTATTCTACAACTTTACTGAATTTATGTATTGGTTCTAACAGCTTTTTGGTGGAGTTTTTTAGGGTTCACTTTATATAAGATCATGTCATCTGCAAACAGAAAATTTTAACTCTTCCTTTCTAATTTGGATACATTTTACTTCTTTTTTCTTGCTTAAATACTCTAAGACTTCCAGTACCGTGTTGAAAAAGATACGATAAGAGTGGGCACCTTTGGCTTGTTCCTGATCTTAGAGGAAAAACCTTCAGCTTTTTACACTGAGTGTGATGTTAACTGTAGGCTTGTCATACGTGGCCTTTATTATGTTGAAATACATTACCTCTATATACAATATTTTGAGAGTTTTTGTCATAAATGGATGTTGAATTTTGTCAAATTCTTTTCTTCTTCTATTGACATGGTCATATTTTTATCCTTAATTCCACTAAAGTGGTGTATCACATTTACTGATTTGCATATTTGAACCATCCTAGCATCCCAGACATAAAGCCCACTTGATAATGATGTAAGATCCTATTAATTCGTTGTTGAATTCAGATTCCTAGGGTTTTGTTGAAGATTTTTGCATCTATATTGATCAGGGATATTGACCTGTAATTTTCTTTTCTTGTAATCTCCTTGTCTGGCTTTGGTATCAAGGTAGTGCTGGCCTCATAGATTGAGTTTGGAAGCTTTCCCTCCTCTTAAATTTTTTAGAAGAGTTTGAGAACAATAGGCATTAATTCCTCTTTATGGTAGAATTCACCAGTAAAGCCGTCAGGTTGGGTTTTTTTTTAATTACGAGTTTTTGATTACTGGTTCAGTTTTCTTATTCATCGGTGATCTGTTCAGATTGTCTGTTTTTTCATGATTCAGTCTTGGTAGATTGTGTGTTTCTAGGAATGCATTTCTTCTGGGGTATCCAGTTGGTTAGCATACAATTGTTCATAATAGTAGTTTCTTTGATCATTTATATTTCTGTGTTACCAGTTGTAATGTAGCCCTTTCATTTCTGATTTTATTTGAGTTTTCTTTTTCTCTCTCTCTTTTTAATGTAGTTAAAGGTTTGTCAGTTTTTACGTATTTTTTAAAAAAATATTTTTTTGTTGGTGATCTTTTCTATAGCTTTTGGTTTATTGCACTTGTTTCTGCTCTGATTGTTATCATTTCTTTTCTTCTAACTTTGGGCTTAGTTTGTTCTTACTTTTCTAGTTCTTTGAGATGTAAAGTTAGGTGGTTTGAGATCTGTCTTTTTTTTTTTTTAATGTAGGCACTTATTATTAATGTAGGCACTTATTATTATCAATTTCCCTTTTAGAACTGCTTTTTGTATGTTGTGTTTCCATTTTTTTTTTCATTTTTTCTTTACCCATTGGTTGAGTTCTTGGTCTCTGGGTCTTTTCTTCCCAATGCTGTAGCTTTCTATAAACCTATAGCCTTCATCAGTAAGTTGGTTCTTTCACAAACAAGTACAACTGATAGAAACCCCTGCTGTGATGTAGTGAACCTTGCCCAGGTAACACATACCTTCAGCTAGTTTCTGGCTGGTTCTCCTCCACTTTTATTTTGCTTTCCAGTTTTATTTCTATTCCATAGAGATGGTTACCTCATGTGAATGTAGCTATGTCTTATTTTTATTTTCTTCTTATCTTGTATGCCTCAATGGTATGTATCTGGAAAAAGGTGATATCCAATCTAATGTCTTACTTTTTCCCTCTATTAGCTCTTTCTCCTTAGCTATTGGTTTTCTTTTTGGTTTTTTGTTTGTTTGTTTTTTAAAGATTTAATTTATTTATCTGAGAAAGAAAGCACGAACGGCGGGGAGGAGCAGAGGGAGAGGGAGAAGCAGACTCCCCGCTGAGCAGAGAGCCCCAAGATAGGGCTTGATCCCAGGACCCTGAGTTCATGACCTGAGCCAAAGGCAGATGCTTAACCAACTGAGCCACCCAGGCACCCCTGGTTTTCTTTTTGAAAGTTTTGTTTTACTTACTAGTTTTCTTTTGTTAAGTTTTGTTTCTCTTTTTCATGGACTGCATTTTTCTCCTATTTGATTATTCTTAATAGCAATGTTATACAGGATTAGAAGGGATGGATTGATATAGAAGGAATGAATGCTCTGAAAGCTGAGCATTAGAGGTCTCCAAGCCTTTTCTATTGCTATCCTTCTGAGGTGGAGCACAGCTTGACAATTAATAGTAGCCAACAGGAAAAGCAGGAAAATAAATAGAATTTTGGGTCATATTCTTTGTATTCAAGTTTTAGTTAAGTATCTGGTCATTTTATATTTTTGGCAACATTTAAAACATGACCTTGTTCCTTTTTTACTATTATTAAATGTATTTGCCTCAATATATAGTCTTTTGAAAATAATCATATCAATCTTTTTGTTTTGTTTTTTACAGTATAAAGAAAAAAGCAGAGTTTGAGTCTGAAATCCAATCTTTGATGAAACTAAGGTCAAAAAATGATGAATTTCTTAAACAATTATACAGGGAAGCTTATCAGCTTGGTGCTGTTTTCCACCTAACCAAATTTAAAACAGAGGAATTAGAAGAGAAAATAGCAGAAGTGAGAAGAAAATTCAAGGTTTGTATCTCTGTGTTCTGCTTAGTTGTAAAAAACGGTAATTAACCTCAGTTTTATTGATTTGTTGATGATAGTTTGATTTTAATTTAAGTTATAATAGCCTTTTAAAATAATTACTCCTTCTAATAAATCTGAATAAAATCATTTCTCTTCAGCTGCCCAGCATGAATAGAAGAGGAATGGGGCTCAGTGTAGCTAATCAACATTTAACGTCTGCCTTTTGGTGTTACTGACCATAAACTACCTGGATCACCAGAAGAATGGTGCTTGGTTTAAACTCATCCTGTGTATCTAATGTATAATAATAGTTCCAGCCTATGGTAGGAAGAAGGGTTGCTGGGAAGTGCCCTTGCACCTTACTAATAGAAGAAAAGGGATTACCTACATCAGGCCTGCAAGTTACTGGATTCCTGAGCACCAAGCAATGCTTAGTAGACCACAGTGTTTCCACAGAAACAACTGCTCGTAGGCCTCAAATCTATTCCTAAGTGAGAAACATGATGAATAGCCACCCCCTGTCATTTGGTATAGACGCTAGCAAAGTCAACTCCATTTTGCCACACATAAAGGATTTAACAGGCTACTTCTGTCCATCACACATCATATTCACACTCCTCCCATCTTTAGCATTTACTTATTGAATACTTATTATCATACAATTATTTGTAAAATTCAGAATCTGTGTTCTGTGTTCAGTGAAGACTTTCTCTTGTGCTTTCTAAATTTAGGACACTTAGAGTGTCTTCCAATAAATGTTTCTATACCTGAGAGACTAGGATTTTGTTCCCACATTGAATCCAGCTGTTCGATGGACTTGTGTATTTTACCTCTATCCCTTCCCATGGATTACTCAATGGGTTTTTTATGCCATATATGTTCCAAAATTAGTATGATAGAAACTATATGTATAGTAAAAATTAACCTCAAAGTTATTTCATTTTTTTATTTTTATTTTTTTTAAGATTTTATTTATTTGACAGAGAGAGAGACAATGAGAGAGGGAATACAAGCAGGGGGAGTGGGAGAGGGAGAAGCAGGCTTCCTGCCGAACAGGGAGCCCGATGGGGGGCTCGATCCCAGGACCCTGGGATCATGACCTGAGCCGAAGGCAGATGGTTAACGACTGAGCCACCCAGGCACCCCCGCCTCAAAGTTATTTTAAAAATATAAAGCATGTGATTATACATATGGTTTAGCATATATAATAACACAGTAGATGTTGTTTTATAATTTTCTTTAATTTTTCGTTAGTCTGTGTTTCTCAATGGCCAATAATTAATTTTTTTTTTCCACTAAGGATATCAGTGAAGACATCAACCCCTGATTTGGTCACTTAACAATGTCTCTTAATTTTTTCAATTGACAGGAAACCTTTGTTCACATATTTATCTCATACCTGTCACAACCTGCCTTCAGTTCTTCAGCTATATGGCTTCACTAGCCCAAGTCACTCATCTTTTAAGAAGGGTGTTATATTGAATTGTTTATTTTTTTTCTAAGTTTTCCTAATGCCATAAAATACAGTTTATAGGTTGAGTGCAAATTTGATGTAACTCCACTGTTCTTGCTTTACCAACCTAAGGCAAAGTGTAAGTGTCCCCCTGGTTTTATTCAAGCAAAATTGAAGAAAGTATTAATCAGGTCCTTTCCCTGCCCTTTAGTAGCTAAGACACAGAAAGAAGCAACAGAAAGAAATTATGCATTTTAGGAAGTAATTCCCCATTACTAAACACTTCCACTAATCTCTGAGCTGAATATATAGGGCATTAATTTTCTTTGATGTACACATGTGTATCTGTGTCAGAGTGGTAATGAATTAAAAATAAATTTCTAGAGAGTCCTTAGGTAATTCAGGTTTGGAGTAATTCAGGTTTGTAGTTTTGCCTTTGTAATGACCCCACTGTCTCTCATTGACTAAGCAATAAAAATCTATTTAATTTTCTGAGTCTTGGCATCATGTTTTTCTTGCAGGTAACTTTGTATATTTGTTGATTCTGCCCTTAATTCATGTCTTCTAGAAATTATAGCATTACCACATCTGAGCTAGCTTTGAGAAATAACATTTTGAAACCTTAGAGGTAAAATTTCTGAGTTATGTTTCCTCAAATTAATGTACCTGTACAATGCTCAGTAAGACTTAGGCAGTCTTAGACTAGAAGCAACCTTGAACAATCAAGATATTTGGCAGTTTCTGGAATTTTCCAGCTATTACAGATAATTTGTCCCAATTTTTTCATACCTTCAATCCCGATAACTCACCTATTCAGAAAAGACACGGTTAGCTAAGTCCCAGGATAAAATTATCCACAGAGATAGGAGATAAGTCAATAAAAGGGTAGTATGTATTCAATTATGGTATTGATGGAATGAACAGAAAATCATTCAGTGTTGTCTGAAGAATGTAATATCGTAACAAGAAAAATCTTGAAAGCTCATCAGATATTAAGTACTTCTCAACGTTTAAATAGAAGGTTTTTGTGCAAGCTGCAGGAATTTGGAGGGTTTTTTGAACATACTAGAATTTTGGTGGAAAAGAAGAACATCAGGCCACTCTGGTTCTAGGTTAAAAATCATAGTACTAGAACTAAGTGGAAACTTAGTAGAAAAGAAGAAAGGAAGTAGAAAGGAAGACAGTTTTCTGCAAGCCTACTATAGGCTACTCTATACATGTTAATTCACTGTTCATAATACTGTGGTGTTATTAGTTTGTTCATTTTGGGGTGAAATGATTTGCCCAAAGTAGCATAGTTTTTAGGCAGCTGTGTAGAATTTGGGGACAAGGTTTTCTGATGCTGGAGTTGATCTAAACTAGTCAGTCAGACACTAAGGAGATATATACTCCAACCAAAAAAGATTTATTCAGCCTCAAAATTTCAAAATAACCATATTAGGATCACCTTTTAGACTTTATTTTTTAGTATTAGGGTCCCCACAAAATTGAGAGAAGATACAGAGATTCCCCATATACCCCTGGCCCCCACACATGCATGTAACCTCCGCCATTGTCAACATCCCCCACCAGAGTGGGACATTTTTTACCAAGGATTAACCTATATTGGATAATGGTAATTACCTAAAATTTATGGTTTACATCACAGTTCACTCTTGGTGGTGTTGTGTACATGCCTAGATTTTGAACAAATATATAACAATATGTATCCATCATGATAGTATCATACAGAGTATTTTCACTGCCCTAAAAGTCCTTGGTGCTCTACCTGTTCATCCCTTCTCCCTCTGATGGCAACTATGGCAACCACTGGCATTTTACTGTCTCCATAGTTTTGCCTTTTCCAAAATATCATATAGTTGGAATAATATAGTATGTAGCCTTGTCAGATTAGATTGTTTCACTTAACTAATATGCATTCAAGATTCCTCATGTCTTTTCATGGCTTGATAGCTCATTTCTTTTTAGCACTAAATAATATTCTATATCTGGATTGCCATAGTTTATGTATTCACCTATTGAAGAGCACCTTGGTTTCTTCCAAGTTTTGGCAGTTATAAATAAAGCCACTATAAGTATCCATATACAGGTTTTTATGCGGACATAAATTTTCATCTCCTTTGGGTATGAGTGAAGGAACATGGTTGCTGGATCTTAGTATATATTTAGTTTTATAAGAAACTGCCAAAGTGTCTTACAAAGTTACTGTACCATTTTGCATTCCTACCAGCAATGCATAAATCCTTACCAATAGTTGATGTTGTCAGTGATCAGGATTTTGGCCATTGTAATAGCCATGTAGTGATATTTCATTGTTGTTTTTTAATTTACATTCCTCTGATGACAGATGATGTATAGCATCTTTTCATATGCTTATTTGCCATTGTATATCTTATTTGGTGAGTTGCATGTTAAGTTCATTACCCCCCCCCCTTTAAAGTACTCTCTACACCCAACATGGGGCTTGAACTCACAGCCCCCAAATCAAGAGTCCATGTTCTACTGCCTGAGCTGGCTAGGTGCCCCAACATCTTTGACCCCCTTTTTAACGTATTGTTTTCTTACTGTTGAGTTTTCAGAGTACTTTGTATATTTTGGATAACAGGTCTTTGTCATATTTGTCTTTTGCAAGTATTTACTCCCAGTTTGTGGTTTATCTTCTCATTCTCTTGACTGTGGCTTTCATAGAGCTAAAGGTTTTAATTTTAATGAACCCAGCTTATCGATTATTATTTTTTTTTCACAGATCGTACCTTTGGTGGTGTATCTAAAATGTTATTGCCGTACCCAAGATAATCTAGGTTTTCTTTTGTTATCTTCTAGGAGTTTTACAGTTTTTTTTTTTTTTGATGTACATGTAGGTTTATGATCCATTTTGAGTTAATATTTGTGAAAGGTATAAAGTACATCTAGCTTCATTTCTTTTTGCATGTGGATGTCTGGTTGTTCTGGCATCATTTGTTGGAAATATTGTCTTTGCTCCACTGTGTTGTCATTGCTTTCTTGTCAAAGATCAATTGATTGTATTTCTGTGGGTCTATTTGTCTATTCTTTTACCAGTGCTGCACTGTCTTGAATAATGTAGCTTTATAGTATGTTTTCATGTTAAATGTGTTTATGCCTCTTCCTTTTTTCTTTGTCAATATTGTGTTGGCTATTCTGGGTCTTTTGCCTCTCCTTATAAATTTTAGAATCACTTTGTCAATAGCCACATAATAACTTGCTAGGATATTGGTAGTGATTGAATTCAGTCTACACATTGTGTTAGAATGAACTGACTTCTTGACAATATTAAGTCTTCCTATTGTTAACATAGAATATCTCAACATTTATCTAGTTTTTTTTATTTCATGCATCAGAGTTTTAGAGTTTTCCTTATATAGATCTTATGCATATTTTATTAGATTTAGAGTTAATTATTTCATTTTGGGGGGAACTGATACGAATAATCATTGTTTTTAATTTATAATTTTACTTGTTCATTGCTAGCATATAGGAAAACAATGGAAGATTGTTTATTCACATTGCGTCCTGCACCTGTACATAATTG